ACTTCTGTGTTTCTGTGATGGAAAAGAGTTGTCCCATAAACAAAAACTTCGAACTATTTATGTGAATCTTGGAGGAGCCGAAGTGCTCCTGTGGAGTCAATGGAAATATTGTGGCCCTTACCATCCTTTAACCATCCCACTTTGTAATTGTAACTTTCCCTGCCAGGACTGCCATTCCCGATGGTAAGTGGCAGCCCCAGTCCCGTCTTCAGGCATCAGTCTGGCGCAGTACTCGGATGATTAGTCAGCATCCCACTGCTTGCTTCTCCAATGAGGATGAAACCCTGAAATCAGGAGAATCCCCTAAACATGCTCCACTGGTACATTTCCCAATGTGCTTGCCTGTGCTTTGCTTTCCCACTCTCACTTGAGAACCAAAGCTGTGTGCAATAGCGGTCATCTCGACCCCTAAGGCATCACTGCAGAGCCTGATCCTGATCTGAACGATGATTCATTGATGCAGTTTGAGGCAGGGTTTACCAAACAGTGATCAGAATTGGAAACGTAGGCTGCTTTTCTTTCCCTGGTCTGCTATTTGCTGGTGCCCATTCCAGTTCCTGTACTGACACCCTGTTGGAAGTCAGTGACCTGAATAGAAAGCTGGCATCAGTAAAAGTAACTACCGAGCTGCCAGATTGTCATAAGATCCCAACCAATCCTTTCATGTGTTTCTAGGAAAACAGTCTACTCCCCCTAACCCATTCTGGCCTGTGTGTGACTCCTAACCACACTAATCTTAACCACCAAAGCCACAAGCCAGAGAAATTAATGATAGGTAAGAAATGCCACCCTTGCCAGCAATGTTCATGTCCTGAGAATGAAAATAAAATTTGGATATGGCACAGGAGACCCATCACCGGTCATATGTTTCTTTGAAAGAACAATCCATATAATCCCATTGCTTCGCATTGTCCCAAACTAAATTTGGGAATGTCTTTATTTGTTTTGACCCGTGTGGGAGTAATTTCAGGCCATGTCAATATTTCTGTCCTATCTGAATGAATTCCTTTAGCATCAGTATATCAATTCCACAGCATTCAGTTGGATGCAATACTGGGTGAGATATGAATTCTCATAGAAACCTACAAAATTCTAACAGGACTAGACAGGGTAAACGAAGAAAGGATGTTCCTGATGATCAGAGAATCCAGAACCATGGATAATAGTGTAAGAGTACAGGGTAGGCCATTTAGGATTGAGATAAGGAGAAATTTCTTCACCCAGAGTGGAATTCACTACCACAGAAAGCGGTTGAGGCTGAAACATTGAATGTTTTCAAGAAGGAGTTAGATATAGTCCTTGGAGCTAAGGGAATCAATGGGTAGGTGGAGAAAATGGAACAGGGTACATGAGTTGGTTGATCAGCTATGGTCATATTGAATGGCAGAGCAGTCTTGAGGGGTAAAATAGCTTATTGCTGCTCCTATTTTCTGTGTTTCTATGTGAGAAACTTGTGAAAATTAACTGCTTTTAAAATGGGAATGATGATAATACCCCTTCAAATTTAAAAATTTTAAATTACACTCTTCGATAAACATAGGGAATGGCGTTGGCAATGGCCTAGTGGTAGTATCGCTAGACTATTAATCCAGAAACCCAGCTGATGTTCTGGGGACCCGGGTTTGAATCTCACCATGGCAGATGGTGGAATTGGAATTCAAAAAAAAGTCTGGAATTAATAATCTCCTGATCACCATGAAATCATTGCCAATTGTCAGAAAAACCCATCTGGTTCACTAATGTCCTTTAGGGGAGGAAATCTGCCACCCTCACCTGGTCTGGCCGACATGTGATTCCAGACCCACAGCAATGTGGTTGACTCTCAACTGCCCTCTGAAATGGCCTAGCAAGCCACTCCGTTGTACCAATCGCTACAAAGACTCAAAGACTCACCCGGCATCAGCCTAGGCACCGGAAAAGACAACAGCAGAAACAGCCCTGTCGACCATGCAAAGTCCTCCTCACTAACATCTGGGGGTTAGTGCCAAAATTGGGAGAGCTATCTCACAGAGTATTCAAGCAACAGCCTGACATAGTTATACTCACAGAATCATACCTTACAAACAATGGCCCAGACACCACCATCACCATCCCTGGATATGTCCTGTCTCACCGGCAGGACAGACCCAGCAGAGGGGGTGGCACAGTGGTATACAGTCGGGTGGGAGTTGCTGTAGGAGTCCTCAACATTGACTCCGGACCCAATGAAGTCTCGTGGCTTCAAGTTAAACGTGGGCAACAATACCTCCTGCTGATTACCACATACCGTCCTCCCTCAGCTGATGAATCAGTATTCCTCAATGTTGAACAACACTTGGAGGAAGCACTAAGGATGGCAAGGGCACAAAATGTACTCTGGGTAGGTGATTTCAATGTCCACCACCAAGAGTAGCTTGGCAGCAGTACTACTGATCGAGCTGGTCGGATCCGAAAGGACAGAGCTGCTAGACTGGGTCTGCAGCAGGTGGTGAGGGAACCAACAAGAGGGAAAAACATACTTGACCTCATCCTTACCAATCTGCCTGCTGCAGTTGCATCTGTCCATGATAGTATCGGTAAGAGTGACCATCGCACAGTCCTTGTGGAGACCAAGTCCCACCTTCAAATTGAGAACAACCTCCATTATGTTGTGTGGCACTATTCACCGTGCTGGGACAGACTTCACACAGATCTAGAAACTCAAGACTGGGCATCAACAGCAGCAGGATTCTACTCTGTAAACTCATGGCCCAGCATGGCCCCCACTCAACCATTACCATCAAGCCAGGGGATCAACCCTGATTCAATGGAGAGTGCAGGAGGGCATGCCAGGAGCAGCACCAGGCATACCTGAAGATGAGGTATCAACCTGGTGAAGCCACCAAACAGGACTACTTGCACACCAAACAGTGAAAGCAGCAAGTGATAGACAGAGCTAAGCGATCCCACAACCAACGGATCAAATCTAAGCTCTGCAGTCCTGCCACATCCAGTCGTGAATGGTGGTGGACAATTAAACAACTCACTGGAGGAGGAAGCTCCACAAATATCCCCATCCTCAATGATGGAAGAGCCCAGCACATCAGTGCAAAAGACAAGGCTGAAGCATTCGCAGCTATCTTCAGCCAGAAGTGCCGAGTGGATGATCCATCTCGGCCTCCTCCAGCGTTCCCCAGCATTACAGACACCAGTCTTCAGCCAATTCGATGCCACGTGATATCAACAAATGGTTGGAGACACTGGATTCTGCAAAGGCTACGGGCCCTGACAACATTCCGGCAATAGTACTGAAGACTTGTACTCCAGAACTTGCCATTCCCTTAGCCAAGCTGTTCCAGTACAGTTACAACACTGGTATCTACCCGACATGTGGAAAATTATCCAAGTATGTCCTGTACATAAAAAGCAGGACAAATCCAACCCGGCCAATTACCGCCCCATCCGTCTACTCTCAATTGTCAGTAAAGTGATGGAAGGTGTCATCAACAGTGCTACCACGCAGCACCTACTCAGCAATAACCTGCTCAGTGACGCCAAGTTTGGGTTCCGCCAGGGCCACTCAGCCCCTGACCTTATTACAGCCTTGGTTCAAACATGGACAAAAGAACTAAATTCCAGAGGTGAGGTGAGAGTGACAGCCCTTGATATCAAGGCTCCATTCGACCAAGTGTGACATCAAGGAGCCCTAGCAAAACTGGAGTCATTGAGTGTCGGGGGCAAACGCTCCAGTGGTTGGAGTCATACCTGACACAGAGGAAGATGGTCGTGGTTGTGGGAGGTCAATCATCTCAGCTCCAGGGCATCTCTGCAGGAGTTCCTCAGGGTAGTGTCCTAGGCCCAACCATCTTCAGCTGCTTCATCAATGACCTTCCCTCCATCATAAGGTCAGAGGTGGGGATGTTCACCGATGACTGCACAATGTTCAGCACCATTCGTGACTTCTCAGATACTGAAGCAGTCCGTGTTCACATGTAACAAGATCTGGACAATATCCAGGCTTGGGCTGACAAATGGCAAGTGACATTCTGCCACACAAATGCCAGGCTATGACCATCACCAATAAGAGACAATCTAACCACCGCCTCTTGACATTCAATGGTATTACCATCACTGAATCCCCCACTATCAACATTCTAGGGGTTACCATTGACCAGAAACTCAACTGGACTCACCACATTAACAGAGTAGCTACAAAAGCAGGCCAGAAGCTAGAAATACTGCAGTGAGTTACTCACCTCCTGACTCCTCAAAGCCTGTCCACCATCTACAAGGCACAAGTCAGGAGTGTGATGGAATACTCCCCACTTGCCTGGATGAGTGCAGCCCCAACAACACCCAAGAAGCTTGACACCATCTAGGACAAAGCAGCCCGCTTGATTGGCACTACACCCACAAGCATTCACTCCCTCCACCATCGATGCTCAGTAGCAGCAGTGTGTACTACCTACAAGATACACTGCAGAAATTCACCAAAGATCCTCAGACAGCACCTTTTTAAACCCACGACCACTTCCATCCAGAAGGACAAGGGCAGCAGATATATGGGAACACCACCACCTCCAAGTTCCTTTCCAAGTCACTCACCATATATCGCCATTCCTTCACTGTTGCTGGGTCAAAATCCTGGAATTCCCTCCCTAATAGCATTGTGGGTCAACGCATAGCAGGAGGAATGCAGTGGTTCCAGAAGGCAGCTCACCACCAACTTCTCAAGGGCAACTAGGAATGGGCAAGAAATGCTGGCCAGCCAGTGGCGCCCACATCCCACGAAATGAATAGAAAAAAAGAAAGTTCAGTACCAAGCTCATTTACAGAACTTTTTGTTTAGTGTTGACAGAAAAATTAGGTTTTTATTGCCTTTAGCATAAGATCAATATATTTTCTAACCAATTGATTTTAAATACTAATTGATTTCAACTACAATTACTATTTAAAAACTGAAAGAACTGCAGATGCGGAGCTTTTCCAGCAACTCCTGTTTTTGTACAATTACTATTTATTTTGCCTGCATCTTCCCATAGGGTTGCCACAGACCATAACATTGACAACACAACAGCAATCCTGCGGGAATGGTTAAAGAATGTTCAGAAGGCCTATCACTATGTGGAGTGGAGACCGCTGGATAGTCCCAGGTGAGTACTTTCAATTGTGAACACCCCCCTCATTTAAATTTTAAAGATATATTTTTGATGGCTTCCAAATATTTTCACAGCAATTTCAGTGAGCAAATCGTCAGTGTAATTGATGTCAGAAAATTCACTTTTAATGTAAAGGAAGAGCAATTGAAGAAGCAACTGCCTTCATCCAATAATGTATCGGGGAATATCTTTCTTTAATATTCTAAATTAAATCATCACAAATGTTCTACATGGACAAAAGTGGCTTACTTCAATTTACTTCCTCTTTTGCTCTTCAATATAGCTCAGGAATGCCACCTAATTTCCTTTTTTAAAATTAAGCTAGGGTACCTTTAAAGTTTATTGTATTAGATGTTAGAAAACCCTTTAAGTTTTCTTTTTGAGTACACATGCAATTTACTTAAGTGCACAACCCCTTTAACTGCGCTTCTGTGGCTATGCTGACAAGGTAACTTAAACAAGGCTCACTTTTGTGGGTGACTGTACATCCATGCAACTTTGAGCGAACAATCTCAGACATGGTATTGGGGACCCATGAGGAGTTACTTGCTTAGATGCGAGTAACCCAAAACCTAAACAGTCCGCATTTGAATGCCAAAGATAAAAAGCAAGTGACTGGTGCAGTCTTTATTCAGCACAGGGCAAGTACAGGGTCAAACCCAACAGACCTAGAGAGACAGTCAGCAAAAAATTCAAAGGTAAGTAAGTTTATTCAAATTTGCTGCAGAATTTGTGGACCAGGAGGAGCTGAAACACTGCCAAATTCTAATCAATTTATATTGTCGTCAGACCCAGCATGCAGGAGAATCCTTTGTGTGAGACTCCGAGCTTCAAGGCTTGGGAAAGGACACATTAAGAAGGAGATTTAAGTTTCTATAAGAACAGTGCCACTAGAATTTTCTTATGGGCATTATGACTGTACAATCTGGTTTGGCTAAATTTTTTTGATGCTCATCACTTCAACCAGTGCAACATCCTGACAAACGCTGTTCCCCTAAATAAAAACCGAAAGAACTGCGGATGCTGTAGATCAGGAACAAAAACAAAGTTGCTGGAAAAGCTCAGCAGATCTGGCAACATCTGTGAAGGGAAAAACAGAGTTAACATTTCAGGTCCGGTGACCCTTCCTCAGAACTCAGTTCCTTTATATTAAGACCCCTCTTACCTGAATTGCATTTAGACATCAATAATTTGTTAGAAAGGTTGTCAACCAACTGCCAGGAGAGAAAACAAATTCAATCTGTTTAAACATTTTTAAACAAAAAAAACCATCAAAAACAGAAAGGTAATCTGGAGCGAAAAGTCTATATGATGATCATAAATCCGTTGCTGATTGTCGGAAAAATCCATCTGGCTCACTAATGCAGTTCAGGGAAGAAAATCCGCAGTCCTTACCTGGTCTGGTCTACATGTGACTCCAGACCCACAGGAATATGGTTGACTCTTAAATGCCCTCTGGGCAATTAGGAATGGACAATTATTCTGGCCTAGCTAGCGATGCTCTCAATCCCGTGAATGAATAAAACAAAATGAGTTTATTTTCCAAGTCTGGCCTCGCTCTAAATTGTTCATGTTTTTAAACCAAATTGGAAGCTCATCCCTTTACTTTAGGCTCTTGTCAATTTGTGCCTCAGTTGTAGGTTTAAGTGAATGAAACTTGAGGATATATTTTGGTTTGTAGATTAGGCATGCCTCGATACAAGTTCCTTATTTGACCATCTTCCTCATCCATGTGTTGCTGGCTTACACTTGTCACTAAATTTCGCTCCATAGCATCCATTATTTTGTGACCACAATGCCTATCTTGGTAACAAACAGGTGAGTGTTACACACACTCACTTCTGGCACAGTCTATGCCAAGTGCTGTTTGGTGAGGGCAATAGAAGCATGTGCCAGATGTATGCCAAGTTAGCAAATCGAGTTAGTCAGTGTGTGTCATTGATTTGCTATTTTCAACCTGGTCTCTTGGGTTGATGCACTCTCTCAAACACATACACACACGAGTTCTGAAGAAGGGTCCCGACCCGAAACATCAACTTTCCTGCTCCTCTGATGCTGCCTGACCTGCTGTGTTCCTCCAGCTCCACACTGTGTTATCTCTGACTCCAGCATCTGCAATCCTTGCTATTTCCACACACTTGTGTATCCCTGGCCTTTGATCATCAACTATTCTCAAGGTAGCACTGGGTCTGTCTAAGTTTGTAGAAGAGCCCTGAGTTTACTGCTGCTATTTAAAGTTGGTGAAATTTGCAGGGAATAAGGCGACATGTGACGAAGACCATCGTTCCCTCTACAAGGGTTATTTGCTCCCAGACATGGGTGCTGCAGCCTCCATCCACCTCCATCTGCACCACAACAGGGAGAATGAGAAGAGGTGACACAGAGCAGGAGAAGCTTCTTAAAGATGGAGGGGATGGGGGAAGAAGGGCTCTCTCAGTAGGCAATCACATCGTCCAAGGTCCATAAAAGCTGTCGTGGAGTTGACCATCACTTGTACTCTGGGAGGTATGGCCTCCATAGAAACATCTGTTTCTGCTGTGCTCTGTGTTCCTTGGTAGCAGATTTTTTTGGGCAACCTGATAACACACCAAGAATTTCTTTGTGCGTTTCCATCAATCTTTCTCTATACACTGCCCATCCAACTCCTCAACTGAATTCTCTGAAGAGGGACACATGTATGACTTTGCTCCTGACAAGCTGATGCCTGTGTTATCGGTTCTACCTGGCTGCTGGTCCACCTAATCCAATATCTCTCCCAAGTGCTGAACCTGCTTTCTGTTCACCCTCTAGAGTTACACACTGTGTCAGAACCTGAGCTGCTGGTTGCAAATAGGACATTAAAATTCTTTTGCACCTCTTGGCATCCACACTCTCTTGACACTGCCTGGCCAGGAGACAATGTCTGAGTACCTGAAAGAGGAAAAGTACAAGATTATGTTGTGGTGAGGGGGAAGCAAGTGCTACACATTCACACCATTTGTAAATGATTTCCTAAATCAGACGAGATTGTGGGAAGAGCAGGGTGTGGGATGCAAAGAGATGGATTCAGTAGAAGCAACTCCTATGGTTTCAGCCCCACCATTCACCATGACCTCAATCCTATTGACTATAATGATTGTCAGTATTGCCTCTTCCAATAGGCTGTGGTGAACAGCGTGCCTACACCCCAGTCTGTTAGAGCCAGCTTGCACAAGTGTCAAGTGTGTGAAGGTGCAGTGAAGTTATGAAAGGTAGAAATCATGGTTAGTTACTGATGGGTGGTGGTGAATTATGAGTGAGGCTAGTGGTTCATTTCAGAACGAATTCACTGAGTATATTCTCAGAACTTGTATTAGCTTAAACTTCTTCCTGCATTGCATCCAAGCCCTCAATACCAGACTGCTAACATGGATAGAGATAGTTATCTGCTTCCATTGACTTCTTCTTGGCAGTCTGAAAAAACTGAGGCAGAGGAGTTCTCTCCTCCTATCCCTACTTGTGCATCGAGACCTTCAATGCCGTGACAGAGAACCTTGGAGCATGTTTCTGTCCTGTTTGCTATTCCCATTCTTATTCCTGTTCAATGGACACAATCACTTGCTGCAGCAGAATGTACTTCCCCCTTCTAAGGCACAGGCTAGCTTTAAGTGGTGCTAGACTAGCACATACTTCAGTCCACTGAGTTAATATCTACCTGCTTTCTAGCCAGACCAATGGGCAATGACCACAGTGTGAATGCAAAGCCAGTGTGGGAGGGAAAGAAATAAAAAAAATCAACTAATTTCAAACATTTGAACTACCTTGCCGCAAGTTTAGGAAAACATAAAGAACAGAGCTTCTGTTCTATGTAAATGTTCTATTCAGAACAAACCATTCTGAACGTTTCTTCAGTCCATGGTTACCCTCTTTTTACCCACTGTTGACTTCATTAAACTTCATTAAAAATCCTCACTGTTAAATGAAATTGCACAGAAATGTGTTCTTTTTTATGCAAAGTCTATTTGTGTAATAAGGAAAACAGATTCCCATTATGCATTAAAAAAAGGAACAAGCTACAATTATCATTTTGGAAGGACAGACGACCCCAGCAATAAGATTAGTGAATGACCATAACCCAGTGTAAAGAAGGTTAGTCAATTGGAGCGAATGTGCGAGCAGTAAGTTGTGTGGATCCCATGTCAACACAACATGCTTCCACCAATCTCACTTCTATTAGAGGGCCCCCAGTGGCAATCACCCCTTGATTCAGTTGGCATTTTGTTGAACATTGCAGTATGTAAGCACAATTGAGATACCCAAAGAGAGCAAAAAATTGTTTTTAATCTGCCTTTCGGGCATGAAATAACACATCTCTGGAGAAGTGGGACCTTCGGTCTTCTAGCTCAGATGTAGGGATACTGCCGCTACACCACAAGACAGCTAAGTTACTCACTTGCCTGAAAACCCCAGGCAGATTCATTTCAATAGGCCTTGTTTCTCCTCTTCAAACGAATTGCTGCATGAATTGATCCTCACAGAAAACCTTTCTCTTATTTGAATGCTCTTTCAGACTTCTTAGGTTACTTTAATGGCAGGTTGACTTGGTTGAAGACCCCACCTTGTGATTTGTGAAGGAAGGGAGTTAATTCAACATTGGCAGCGGCGAATCCGTCCTCCATTATGCAAATGGCTGACATTTCTGATATCTTTAAGGCAGCTCTGCCAAAGTTGAATTTCATCTTCCTGTGGTGAAAAATTAGTTCGTAGTCTATCACTGTATCCTATCAAGATGGCTTCTGATGCTCCCACTGATCCGATAGCATTTGGTTGGTTTCCCAGGTACTATTCTGATGAAATAGGGCCAAAACACTGGAGTAATTCCAGGTTCGCACATATGATGAAACTCAGGCAAACGGCACTGAAAACTGCGAGGGAGAAGTGGGCTGACTACATTTTGGTGAGTGAAGCTTCAGGTTACACTCTCTTTTGAAAAATAAACAGTACAGTTAGCAAGTTATTTAATTAGGGTATGGCTAAAAATGCCTTCCAGTTCAATTGCTTACCACCTCCATTTCTACTGGAAAATATGAAAAAGCATTCCATGGTTTCTCGATTTTCATCTGCATTGATAGATTTCAACTTAATTGGGCACATTGGGTGAGATTAGTACAATGGCAGACAGCAATTTGGAAAGATCAAGATGAAAAGTACTGGGATCAAATTATATACTGCAATATGTAATTTCCTGCAGTAACCACAGGCAGACATTGCTATCTGTCAAGCCAATATTTGCTGACGAGGAAGGACATAAAGATTAGTACATACCTGTTAGGCTGAATGGCTTATTTTCATCCTGTGAATTCAAAGCAATTTTGTTTAGCCTGTCTGAAGTTCTATTATTCCAGTAGCTTTTCTCAATAAGTTTGCCTTTAGGAGCCATATGCAGGAATGATATGGTGAAAAGCTGGGAAAGTCGAGTGTGGTTTTTGGAACTAAACGCAGCGTGTCACATATCAGTGCTGATGGGAGTTTGGAGGCCATCATAGCAGGACGCCTGCCACTTTAACATTCACCTTCATTATTCAAACTATCTGGGCCAGTCACTCTCATTGACAGGAACATGCCTGAGGCTAGCAGCTTGCTCTCCCCTCCTCCCCCTGAGTGGCCACATCTTCTCCAGTGATTTACACTCTGTCAATCAGCATTGCACAAGGGCCAGGATAGGTATGGACCCCTGCACAGGGAATAGGGAGCCCCAAGATGTTCAAATTATTCAGCATGCTGCTTCAGCTACCATGGACCATTCGCTGACTTTTTCTCTGTTCTACCAACTGCAGAAACATTTCAGCCAATTGCAACACTCCCTGTTTCCTTCCCTCCCTATCTCATTAGCTGGAATCTACATTTTCCTGGATCATTACAATTGCTAACCTTCTCAGGAATCTTCAAGAATTCAAGAGTAATCCCCTCAGCAACCCAGACAAAGAAAACTTCTGGGCTTTAAAAAATATTGTGTTTTTTCTCTGCCTTTTCTTTGAATGCCTATGGTTGCTGGCTGTAAAAGTTATTGAAGCTAGGGGTGGACAGAATGAGGTGAGAAAGGCTGTTTGACTGACAGTCATAGAGTCATTCAGCATGGTCCTAATCTGACCTAGCCCTATTTGCCAACATTTGGCCCATATCCCTCTAAACCCTGCCTATTCATGTACACATCCAGATGCCTTTTAAATGTTGTAATTGTACCCGCAACCACCACTTCCTTTGGCAGGTCATTCTATACATGCATAACCCTCTGTGTGAACCATGGATCATTTAACCAATTACCAAAGAATCTGGCCACTTTCCCATTTCTGTACTGCTGGTGTACCATGCAAATGATCTCTAAAGGGAGTGTGGGAGTTTGGAGAATGGGGAATGGAAGCTGGGAATGAGAAGGTCCTGCGATGATACTGAGTTTAGTAAACTTAGGCAGCAAGTATGTTGTGTGATATGTATACTTCTGTACCATGTTAAAGACGTAACCTCTCCATCATCAGAGGTCCTTGATCCTCTCACTACCTTTAACAAATTCACTTCTTTGCATAGTACAAGAAGTTCTACGGTCAATATTTAAAAAGAAGACAGCCTGGCAGGTTGGAATGATTACTTAAAAATAAAACGAGGTGCAATGCTTAACCTGTAAAAAGGTCGGGGAATGTGTATTCAGGAGATTATCTGAAGATCTGTGATCAGTAGAAAGCTAAATTGAACAACTTTTCTTATCCAAATCCTGCTGTGTGCAACGGTCAACCGAGACTATAGGAGTTCCATATCGCTGGGTTAGAGATAACTAGTCATGATTATGTAAGGTAAACTAACATTCTTTGGTGCTGTGTGACAGTCTTAACTTGAATTGTAAGAGGCTGGATGTTGCTCCTCATCTTGTTTTTCTTCCAGTTTGTAGATACAGACAACTTGCTAACAAATGAGCAGACACTGAATCTGATGATAGCTGAAAACTTGACCGTGGTTGGCCCCATGCTGGATTCTAACACATTGTACTCAAACTTTTGGTGTGGGATGACACCCCAGGTGAGTTGTTTGAAAACAAGAAATCCTATTATATTTGTAGCAATTGGAAATGTTGATTTAACAGCTTGCGAACAAAGATCTATAAAACACAATGTAAATAGATAGTTTCTCACCCCTCCTGCTGGCCCTTTAAAGAATGAATAAGTTCTGCTTCACTAGATTCACTGTGACGATGGGCTAGATATTATGTCTGCACTAGGCATGTTTCCTGGGGGTGGGCACATAATACATGTGAAGTGGCTAGCCCAAACCCCTCCCACAGACTCCCATTATACGGAAGGGTGAGCAGGCTCCAAATTTGGGCAGCCTGTCTGCATAACGTATACAAATAATTCAGGGCTAATAGAGAACCTTTTAAGAAACTAAGTTGACCTTGATTAAACATTACCCACCCCATAATGCAGCTGTTTGGGAGTGGGCAGACCACCTTTTTATATAAGTTTATGAAATTGTGGGAGGGAAAGGGGGTATAATCATCAATGGGTACCCTTGATGCACCCCTTTGAAGATAGTAGATTCCCCCCTTCCTTTTCACCCACTTGGTCTGCAAAACCTGCCATCAACTCCCCTGTCTCCTTCCCATCCCAAAGTTTTTAAATCCTTCCCCATCCAGTACCTGATTTATCTTGGACCAGAGTCCATGCTGTCATCTTCATACCTAGCCTGTAGTACCAACAGTGCCCAATACTGAGCTGGTGGCACTGCTGGGACTGCCAGCCCATCAGAGGGATGGGACTTCCTCTCCGGGGAAGAGTGAAGGTCTGACTGCACATTTTGGCTGCAGGTTTGGAGGGTGTGGGGTTTGGGGCGGGGCGGGGGGGTGGGGGTGGCGGTGGTGAGGTGCATACTGCTCTTTCCAGTTGGTCAGCTCACACCTTACTTTCCTTCAGGGGTGGGGGGGTTGGTGAGCGAGCAGTCTGGCACCATCTCTCTAATGGTATCCAAGTAACACCCAGTCCAATTCAAAACTATTTTCCACTGTTTCAGAAAGTCCATTTAATGGCAACCCCACACTTTGTATGAAACAAAACTCAATTTTATGTATTATAGGTCTGGGTAAACAGTAATTCTGATATTTCAGTAAGGATTGAAAATATCATGGTCTGTGAACAATCCTTTCTGAATATGCACAGAGACCACGATTGATTCATTTTTTTATAAGTACCATTCCACCAAAACAAGAATAGATTAGATTACTAGCAAATAGAGCTTAATTCTCGCTGTTAATTTAAAACAGCACTTTTTGAATCAAATCAGTGCGTTGAAATAAAAAACAGAAAGTGTTGGAAATACTGAGATCAGACAGGATTTGTGGAGAAAGAAGTCGAGTTAATAGCAGAAGTTTTTGAAAGTCCTAAGTCCTGCCTCTGATCTTGGAATTTTGTATTTTCGTGGAGCAGGAATGGAGTTGGCTCAGGATTCGAGCATGTGTGGTTTATGGAGACAGCTGACCATTTCAATCATCAGCTGCCTCCATTCCTATGTGATTTTGTTGAAGTAAATGTTTGAACCACAAATGTGCAGATTAGGCGAGCTAAGGGCAAGTTTGAACATTGTGGATTCCTTTAGATAGCCAGGATACCCTTTTGGTGACATAACATGCCTCTTCAGATCTGGTCATGGGATGCCTTTAGTAGAGGTAAAGCACTCACAGTCTCACAGAATTGTTATGGTGCAGAAAATGGCTGTACAGCCCTTTTATTTAAGGTTTAACATCAGTGTAACAGCCTAGTGCTTGTTTTCCTCATTTGTTGCTTTCGGATTTGTTGTCAACTTAATTGTTCATAGAACTTTGCAACTGTTCAGTGCAGCAGTGTTTATGTTCACAATGACTATCGTCTCTCCTTACTTCATCTCATCCTATCATCATATCCTTCATTTCCTTTCTCCTTCATCTATCTACTAACTTCTCCTTCAACGCGTATGTGTTAATTACCTCAACAACTCGACGTGGCAGCAAGTTCTACATTCTCACCACTGACTGAAACAACATAATCCCATTAAGGCAACTGTTAATGCTAAGAATAGGTCATTCTCACATCATGCTTCTTGGGGCTAGCCTTGAGCGAGTTGTGGCCTATATTTTTGTACAGTACAACTGTGACTTTACATCACAAAAAAAACTTAATTTGTTGTAAATCACTTTGGGATGTCCTGAGGTTATGAATTGTGCTATACAAGTGCAACACATTCCTTAAGTAAAGGCTGGAATAAATGCTAGGTATATAGAACCAGAATTTGGAGAATGGAAACCATTTGGAGGGATCAGCAAATGAGTATCAATTACTCTTTGATCTTTCCTTTTATTTTTCCCCTGGAATGACAGTCATCGCATAGAGTGGTTGCTAGATCACTGCATGACACTATTCTTAGTTCAGCATTGCAACATGCCAACTAAGTACCAGAGCTAGGTTTTAGACCATAGCTGGCCACTAATGTCACTCAGTGTGACATCTCTGCATTGCACAAATTGGCCGTGCAACCAATCTGCATTTGTGACCCAGACCCTAAGGAAACAAATTCCCATCTTCATTGCCAAGTTGATGTACCAGAACTGTTCACACAACATCAGCTCATAGTCTCTCATAGTCTGCCATTAAAAGTATAAGTTACTATGATTGGAAGATTCCTCAGAAAAATCCCAAACTTGTTGTTCATCAAACATTCAGAGAAATTTAATGATAAAGGTTGTTTGAAGGTGTTCAATGCAGTAGTATAGAGTCACTGTAACATTGACTTCCTTAATGGAAGGTTTGCTCTGAAGAAAAGTTGTTACCTTAAATTAGCTCCTTAGAACAATTGGGTGGGTCCCAACATTTCAGTCAGCACACCTTACCCACGACTGGAAGGAGGTAGTTTTATATAGTGAGGGATGGGCATATGAGCAGGACGTTACTGCTGACCTGCCAGGCTATTGTACTTGAAATAGGCTGGCACATGTTAGCATTCTTGCTGCAGTGTGGTTGATTGTGCAGAATGGATGGTAACATGTTTCTTCAGTAAGAGTAATCAGATGTCACTGATGGGAAGGTCACACACAGTCTTGGGAGGGCAGTTCTGGTGTTGGTAGATCACCGTGGCATCCCTGATGGTCCTTGTATGTCAGTGTGTGATGGATAAGTCTGGAGCATTGGCTGTGGCGATTATTAAATTCAGAATGTTTGACGATAGCTGACTTATTTGATGCACTGTATTTGAAATGGATGTGGCGTTCCCTGAAGCCAGTGTGTAGTCTGCAACTTGTTTTCTCCAATTTAGACGAGACCACAATCACCTGGTACGCTGTAAAAACTACAATCTTATTCTCCAGCATCGGCAGTTCCTACTATCTCTGACTTAGGAATTTACATCTGCATCTCTAGCTCAAGTCCAACAGAAGATAAATGTAAAGTAAAAATACTTTACAGAAGAAGGCAGTTCACTATCATGAACATTTTCTCTCAGCAGGAACATTGCAGATAAAACAGTCTGATTGGTATCTCAACCATATCTACCTGCCTTGGTCCTGTAACCCTTTTAATTCCCAGATCAATTACTCTTGATCCTTCTTCAATCAGTTGTTAATCATAACAATAGCTAATCATTGTCTCTCACTGAATAGGATCTTGGTTGAGATTGCACAAACTTATTTCACTTTAATCCATACAGTGAGTGAAGCAAGACACTCAGTCCATCAGCCAGAGTTAGATTTGAATCCAGGTACTCAAAATGAAATGCTGTCACATTAACCCAATCCATCATAACACATTTCTATTCACTTCCTAAAAATGTTCCTCAGCATGTTTTTCACTTTATGGTTGGTGCATACACATCCAAAAGTTTGTAACCTTTTTGTTTAATTTAAGTTTAATTTTGTTTAAGTCGCTAATGAATTATAACAGTTGGCTCCACACAACTAGTGCTGCTAGTCCTTAATCACATTTACTAGAAATACCTTTCTACTTGAGATCAGGCATGTTAAAAACATAAGACATATTATTGATAATGTGTTTATCAACTTCCAGCATTCCATGGAAGATCAGCATTTTTAGGCAGTATTGACCAGTCTACATTCATGGATAAAAATTCGCAGCAATCCCATATCTACCTTTTCAATGGGACAGCTTCTACCCCTCCTCAGTGCCACTCCTGGTTAATCCTTCCTGATGCTGCTAAAATGAACTGAAACCTACCCTCTGCTGTGGATGGCATTTGCTGCAGTATCCTCCACTATGTAAATAATAAAGTATTGAATGTACCTGCAGCTTAATTGGAATGATCTTAATTGAGAGCAATAACTTTCTTTGAAAAAAGAAATCAGAAATCCCTTTTATTCATTAAAAGAATGAAGACCACAAAGTTCCACTGTTTGAAGCAAAAGAAATTTTACAGTCAGAAAAACACCCTTGACAACCATCTATTCTCTTAAACCCAGAAACAACATAAATTAAATAGAAGTCAACAAGCAAACTGTGGTCTGTTATGAACTAAAAATCACACTATAAATGACAGATCCAACTAAGACAAATCTTACAAATTCGCTCAACATATCTGTCACCAATCTCAGTCACAAAGTCCAACAAATTCACGATTGTTCATGAAGAATTTCAGCTCCTTTTCTTCTAGGATTCAACCTAATCCCCAGCCAAAAGCAGTGCATAATCAACTTGAGTTTCATTAGCAAAACCTTAACCAAAATGCCACACGGCTGCAGTCAGTCCTCACCTCTGGGTTATGATGGTCTGTATGGCTGAAGACCCATCAATATTATCTTCAAGTATCAGACAAACTGCAATATGTGTACCTTTGACTGTTCCCAGCTTCTGGATCTAGCCACCTCCTTCTTCAGCGTGCCTATACTACACCTCTGGAATCATCATCTGAGCTCTGTCACTTTTTTTATATGCTTTCAACCAGTTTTACTTTCCCTTGCAGTTTTGGCTTCCAATCTTGGTTAGATTGAAGACTAAAAAGGTCAGTTTCTGTTCTCCATTTCCTTTTTTCAACTGGTGTCTTTCTTGGAAAAATGCAGGCTTTGAAACCATGGATTCTGTTACATAATATTTGTTAAGTTCTCCACCACTCTCTTCCTGTGCAGTACGATAGGCCCAAATTCAGGACTGTCTTAAGGTTATCAAGTTTTACATTACTTACAACAGTTGTAAGTATCATGTGCATATATGCCTTGAGGGATTTTCTATTTTACCTTTAATGCCGTACAATCCTAGATTTTCACCTTACAAAACCACATGAAGCCAAATGAACTTCCACCACCAAGGGAGATTATGTTACATACTGGACTCACTTCATCCTCGTTCAGTATGAGATTACCTTTGAAGGAGTTACAAGGACACTCTTACACCTCAGTAGCAACCATTTTGCTCCTTTTTCCTTCTTTCAGTCAGAATTGTTTTTTTCTCTCTATTTCCATTTAGGGATACTACAGGAGGACTCCTGATTACATTCCAATTCGAGAGTGGAAGCACAAAGGTTGTTATCCTGTTCCTATGGTGCATTCCACTTTCCTCATTGACCTGCGCAGGGAGGCTACGAAAAAGCTGGCGTTCTACCCTCCACACCCAGACTACACCTGGGCATTCGATGACATCATTGTCTTTGCATTTTCCTGCAAAGTGGCCGGTAATTCTTAACTCTTTAAAATAGAGATGTCCTTACAAATGATAAATGTCAAAAATGATGAACAAGTGAAAGGCTGTAAATATTTTATATGGAACATACTTTCGCATGCAATTATCTTGTCCATTAATAAGCTGCTTCATGAGAGGAAAATGAACATGTAGAAATCCTATAACTGCTGATTGGAGTTCCCAAATGACTAGCAAGATATATTAATTTTACTTTGTGGATTTCACTGAGAGACCTCTTTTGCTGTATCCATGCTACTTATTGTATTCACGTATAATTTGCCTGACATGCAATTTAGAGTCTTATATTGCCAGTAACATAAACTTCAGAGGGAATAAGTGCAGAGATTGATTAGAAGATTTAAATTTCTTTGGTTCCTTTTCCTCTTCCCACCAGCTCTTTTAGAGGTATTCTGCTATGAACCTCAGCTGACCAAGCTGGCATTTTTTTTGATGAGGCTTATACACCATTAGAATATCAGGACATGATTGTGACTGTATTGTTGCCTTTACCTGTTGTTTACAGGCGTGCATTTAGTATATATAGCACCGAGTAGCACTAAGAAGCAGGAAAGAGTAAAACAGGGAGCAACAGATCTTATCACATCTATTTCCCAGCAGAAAGTTAGTTTAAAATTATCCCCACTGTCTTATTTTCTATATTTGAATTCAGAATTAGCGATTTTAATTGCATAGAGTAAGTTTCTTCAATGGGCTGAATGGCCGACTCCTGGTCCTGTTTCCTACGTTTCTATTTTTAATTTCCTTCTGAGTTAAGATTAAAAGAAAGAATTTCATCAGGATAGTGCCTATTACTCCCTTAAGCCATCCCAAAGTACCTTATAGCCAGTAAAATACTTTTGAAACATCAATAAGGAAACTAACCTGGAGCTTTAGTCTTCAGGCTATCCCAAAGTACCTTATAGCGAATGAAATACCTTTGAAACATCAGTAAGGAAATTAACCTGGAGCTTCGTCTGGCTTCTTGGCAAAGGTTCCTTTGATAGAGCCTTCCAAACATGTGAGCTCCACCACGTAAAAGGACAATTGTGTCAAGTACATGAGTAGAACAACGTCGTCAAATACTATCTTTTCTACTATCTCAACTTGGATGTATGTGTCTGCTCCTTCATCCTTGTTGCGTTGAAGTCCTGGAACTCGCTAGCTAACAGGAGTATAGTAGTATCTTAAATTCATGTGTTGCAATCGTTTAATAAGAAGGCCTACTACCACTTCCCCAAGTGTAATAGAAATATGCGATAGATTCACCATTGAATGGTTCACCATTGAAACCCATATTTCAAAATAAGCTCTTAAACAAATCAGTGATCTTTAGGGCCAGATTCAGCAATTACACAGTGGTCACTGGGTGCTGTGCAGACACAAGCACATGTTCATACATGAAGAATACTGGGCTAAGCTTTAAAACAAAATACATTGCATTTTATCTATTTGATTCTGTGCAACAACTGAACGATGTGTAACCTGATGTCCACACTGGTCCAATGATTGGATGACCTTTCAGAAAATGCTTCCTCCAGCCCATCACCCCTTGGCTCACCAGAATACACAATACAAAATTGTTTTCCCAAAATTTGCCAAACAAGTAGCTCTTACCCTCCATCACACATAGCAGATGTCACCAGAAAAACATAAGCAGTGAAGAAGCAAGACATGGTGTTCAATCATTTCTCTACCCATTAAGAAGCTGACCAGATGTCAGCTGACATGTTAATTTCAAACATCTTCAGAAAACTCTTAATTAGAAACATGTGGCAATTGAAACTTGGATGTGTAATTCAACCAACTAGTGCATGATTAAAATAGGTCATCGTTCATAATTTATATATGGACAAATCATAAACAGCATATTCATGATTACCTTGTGAAAGTGCTAATTCAGAGCAGGTTGAGTGAAGATAAAGCTCTGCCAGAGATTAACTACCATTTTATCCTAATGAATCTTTCCAAGGTTTTCATTTTACAAAATACTGATCCATGGTCTGAAGTTTCTCAAACATTAAAGAATGTAATATATCCCACGCATGGGACAAGTGGTGGCTAAGGTCACTCAGGGTCCTGGTTGTGTAATGATAATAGTGATAGTGAAATAATGATAGTGATTCTTATTTCCATCATATGGCTGGATCTTGCCCTCTCTTACCACCTGCTATTGATGTATGTTGGAAGGATTTGCAGATTGACACTCAACCTGTTTGGCCACATTGTGAATGCACCTCCATCGGCCATCAAGTCCTGAGCTTCTGGCTCAGCGCTAGAATGTCACAAGATTTCCTCATGTAAATGGAACTTGTTCGAATTAATTTTTCATTTTTTGAAAATTATATTTCTTTCTTGACGGCAATGAATCCATTGCAGTAAAAAAATGCTGATTTAGTTCTGAAAGACCATACTTGATAGCTGCAGTTGTTATTCCCCTTGTGGCTTTCCTAATCTCCCCTCTGTAGAGTCCATGAAAGACCCAATGGTCCCCAGGAAAGTCGAAGCAGTTATGATGGGCCATCAAGGACCCAGTGAGAGGAGGTTCTCTCTCAAAGTTACTGTTGTTAATTGTCCCGGAATCACCAGGAATTAATTCGCCAGGAATTAAAGATTGGGATACTGCTCCAATCAAACCAGAAGAAAAATGAGAGTCTTTCTTCATTTCCTTTGATTGCCTCTATTTATTACTGTAAGCACTTCGGAATTTAATGGTTCCTTGGTGCATTCTCCATGACAGGGCATCGACTGATCCATTTGCCAACTAATCAGCACTATCGTCTTCTACAGGCTAAATTGTTGCTCCCTTTCAGATTTGGTATTCTTGCAATTCTGTCCTGATGAATACAACAGAAAAAGCTTCAAATAACATGTCTCTTTCTTCAGCGATGCTCAATGTTCTGCACCACCAAGCAACTATTTATTATAAAAATGTGTGAGGTGACAAGGCAGTTGGAGGTAAGATAATGTGTGAAGAGGCCTTCAGGAATGCATTTGTGGGAGTGAATGACCCAATTATTAATGAACCACTATAATAAAATTATATTTTTTAGCATAACCAGACAATGAATGTGATTAGAGTGTTACATTTTCATGTTGTGGCTTAATTTTTCGTTGTTTGATAAAGTTGCTAAGAGTAACATGTTGATAAATACAGCACTGACAGGAGATAAGAAGTTCAAGTTCGAAATTAGATGATTAATTGGTTCAAAAGCAAAACATGTAAACTTGTTCACCTGCACACCTGCTAATGTGATATACTGCATCCGCTGTTCCCGATGTGGCCTCCTGTACATCGGGGAAACCAAGCGGAGGCTTGGGGACCGCTTTGCAGAACACCTACGCTCGGTTCACACTAAACAACTGCACCTCCCAGTCGTGAACCATTTCAACTCCCCCTCCCATTCCTCAGACGACATGTCCATCCTGGGCCTCCTGCAGTGCCACAACGATGCTACCCAAAGGTTGCAGGAACAGCAATTCATATTCCACTTGGGAACCCTGCAGCCCAATGGTATCAATGTGGACTTCACAAGCTTCAAAATCTCCCCTCCCCCTACCGCATCCCAAAACCAGCCCAGCTCGTCCCCGCCTCCCTAACCTGTCCTTCCTCCCACCTATCCCCTCCTCCCACCCCAAGCCCCACCCCCATCTCCTACCGACTAACCTCATTCCACCCCCTTGACCTGTCCGTCCTCCCTGGACTGACCTATCTCCTCCCTACCTCCCCACCTACACTCACCTTTACTGGCTCCATCCCCGCCTCTTTGACCTGTCTGTCTCCTCTCCACCTATCTTCTCCTCTATCCATCTTCTATCCGCCTCCCCCTCTCTCCCTATTTATTTCAGAACCCCCTTCCCCTCCCCCATTTCTGAAGAAGGGTCTAGGCCCGAAACGTCAGCCTTCCTGCTCCTCTGATGCTGCTTGGCCTGCTGTGTTCATCCAGCTCTACACCTGTTATCTCCGATTCTCCAGCATCTGCAGTTCCTACTATCTCCAAACTTGTTAATAATTGCTTTACATCTAATTAAGTCCTGCAACCAATACGTTCCTCTGGGATAAGAAGTGTCATTCATTATAATGACTCATGATCTTGGGAAACATGTTACTGGGAGAAGGTTTCTGGTTACTTCTTTTTCAGCATTTTCCTTGGATATTCAATCATTGGTATTTGGCTGAAGACCTTCAACAGTTTTGTTTGCTTTATGATGGATGAGTTTTCACGTCGTGTCCCAGTCCTGTTCTCAACAGTATCATCAAGCTTCCTGATCCATTAGAAATGCTGGCATGTTTTAGACACATTTTATGCATCAGAGATTCATAGCGATGTTGCCATGGCAACCTTCAGTGTTTAGATTTCTACTTGGCTAAAATAAATGGCATTACAAACAAATGGCACCATAAAAATCAGCTTTTTGTCAGTACTCACCAACGTTAATACTGTGTGTTGTTTGACCTTGGGCATACTAGCTTCGTGTAATGTCTGAAGTCGTGAGTGTTAACGCTGCGCGTTGCCAGGATTCAGAGGGTTTCTGCTCACAGTGCCACTGTATGCTAATACCTTTGCATAAGGCTGAACTGTCTGTCTCCTGCACTCCAAGTATCATAGCCTATGAAGCAAGAACTGAAAAATGGGTTTAGTCTGGATAAATACTTTTCATCCTGCACAGATATAATGGGCCAAATGGCCTCCTTCTGTGCTGTAAGTATCAGTGTTGTATAATTTAAAGAATGCTTTGCTAGTTTCTCACATTAAAAAGGATTAATTGCTGAAGTATTTTAAAATATTCTCTTTGTATTTTGTGAAAACTGCCTGTTGGTCGTTTATCCCCTTCAAAAGATCATGGAAAATTAGACTCTGATTTCAACCATGTGACGTCTTCTGTGTCAGGAAATTTGTGTATATTTGTTGAAAATGCCTCAAAAGTTACTGATTATACATGTACTTGGTGAATAAAACCTGACTCTTAAGTCTAAAGTGATTCTTTTTTTAG